TGGTACAATAATTTTTATAAAAAAAGTAAAACGTTCCATGATTGGCTTGTGAGCTGAATACTGCCAGATTGCCCAGGCACGTGAATTTTCGTGAGGAGCTCACAACCGGAGCCTTCGGCTAGCCAAAGCCTGACCCGTAAGGCAGCGGGGCGGTGTATGAAAACAGCAGTCCATTGGGAGCCAGTGTCCAGTTCATCGGATCATTCGCCCTTCGGGCGGGGTCAAACGTCCAAGGTGCCCAATACACCTCAATACCCAATCGAGCCAGTGACCACTGCCACAACCGGGAAGATGTGTGGGGTTCGTACGCTTGAAACACCTTGAACCCAGGTGACTTAAACGCGCATGTATTACTGCTGCATTGTAGTTAACAATTCAACTGTGATCCCTTTCGCAGCACAACAGGCTTATTAGTAAAAACCCATAATGCTAACTAAAGAAAACCTGCTAACACTGACCCAATAGAAATTATGGTACGGAGCCCAAGATTTGATAAATGATAATAACTTCTCAAAAGAGATTTCTAATTGCACTAATTTCCTCATACAGGGGGATTTGAAATATTTTGTTTTCGGACTTCATCAGGGGAAGCCTAACATTCCCTTGAGAATTCTTTCGGTTTGCAGTTGCAACGAATTGGGATCTGTCGCCACCGTGAGGACGGGTCGGCTTTTTCTCGATGGTCCCGGATGCGCAGTTATGCCTTCGCTAAACCGGAACCCTCGTAACTCCGATACCGGACAAATGACCATGATCGGGGTTAAGTGTTTTGGGTTACAGCTGGTCACCTTCCATTTGCACCTCGCGAAATGATCCCATATGACCAGGCGTCTCAAATAGCTTCTGTTAAGGAAGCCCTACTTGCTACCTCTCCATGGTAGATGTATTTTTCCATTACAGTGAGGGCAAGAAAAGCCAACATCCGAGTTGGCGAACCGTTAGCAGTTTATCTAGGTCGAACTGGCAAGAAAACCCTGTTTCCAAACCAATCAACAGGATGCGCACGAACCAAACACATATATACACACACACACACACCTTCCTGATTGTGACAGTGGTCACCGGCTCACTTGGGCATCGAGGGGTATTGGGTACCTTGAACATTTGACTCCGTCCGAAGGGCGCATGATCCGATGAACCAGACACCAGCTTTCAATGGACTGCAGTTTTCAGACAACTCCCCGCTGCCCGGCGGGTCAGGCTCTAGCTAGCCGAAGGCTCCAGCTGTGAATGCCTCAAGAGAGTTCACCTGAGTTGACCTGCGCAACCTGCCAGCATTCCACCTAAAATCTCCTTATAACGTTTGTCCAGTCAGTCGGATACTACTTATTATGAAATATATCGGTAAGCATATATTCTATGGTATCCTTTGATATCCTATGGTATTTAAGAGATTATCTAGTACCAGAAATCGGAAAATTTTAAGGTAAAATGTCCACATAAGAACACGATTGAACTGTTACCTTTCAATGCGTTCAGCATTCTTGTGTTCCACGCCTCCGCGTCATCACGATGTGTACACAATCGAGTGGGGATCAGTTCTGGGTTAATGTGCGATCCGGTTTGTTCCGTGCTTGGTTGAGACAAAAACCGGGATCTCAGCAGTTTATTTGCCCATTCAGGACAATAGCCTTCTCGAACCACAGACAGTAGGCGAGCAAGATCCGGATCATCGGCTTGGCGCCAGGAGTGCAAAAGTTCAACACAGGCAAACTGACATTGACTCCATGTCGGTGATTCAAATGCGAAACGAAAACCAGACTATAGGACGGAAACAATTAGGAAAACAAACTGCGTTTGTTTGGAGTTACTTACAGATCTAGTCACCGGAGGAAGCTGGTAAAAATCCCCGAATACTATGACCTGAATGCCTCCGAAAGCCGGTTTTGTTTCGTCAGTAGCCGCTTCTTTTCCGAATATGCTTTCTTTCGCAATCATGTTTAACCGATTGAATACCGCCGAGCTGAGCATGCTTATTTCATCAATAATCAGGTGTCTTATTCGTTGCCAACGGTTTTGGATAGATGGAGATGAACGAATTCGCTGCTGGAGTGCTATTAACCAAGCATTCTGTAGTTTTGTGTCACTTTGCTCCCCAGCTTCTTCGGACAGTAAATTTCCAACTCCACTAAATGCATGAACTGTTGTGCCTCCAATCAGATTAGCAGCCGTGCCCGTACTAGCTGTAACTGCTGTACAATCCGGCGGAAGAACGCCTAAATAATAGAAATGCATAATATAATTATTATATGTTTGTGGATTCCTATAGACCACACAACAAAATGTGCAACTATCCACTGAACCTATAGAAGCAAATGAACAATCGAATTGCTCAAACAGTATTTTCTGGCGCACCATGTGATGAAAGAATTACGAATCTTCGCAGGTTTCATGCTCAACCACAGCTCACCTACAGCGTTATACAGCGTGCACGTGACCAGCTGGGCCATGAGGTCATGCTTCTCGCCTGTCTCTACTACTAGGGAAGGGAAGAAAGTGAACACCTATGGTCAACACACAGAATGCACAACTGAAATGTGCATAATTCCCTTTTCAAACATTCAGGCCTGATAAGAAAATTACATAAAGCATGCCACTGCTGTGGTTCGCTACCACATCCACGCGGTTTCCTCAAGCCTGGAGCGGCTGCAGTGAATAAAGCCCGGTTCGGCAGACGACAGCTGGGCTATGCAATATGTACCTTAACCATTGAAGCCAACTAATCTGAATTCCATGAGCTAGCAAGTTTATCCCGGATAAACTTGCAAACACACGACGGCTTACCTCCAGATTACTAACCCGTTCGCTCCATTACCCAGGGGACTATCCAACGTAAACACTGATAATCAAAAACTTCCAGTCAATGGATATTTTCTACTGGCAAACTCAAGGTCACACAACCATAAAGCAGAATGGCAGTAAAATATACACGACCCTTCAAATTCTGTGAATCGTCGATTCTACACCAAAGATGTTCCAGTACTGCGTACACTGCTCGAGCCTTGGAAATGCGGTTGGTTATCTCACCTATTGCGCAACCGTCATTGGTCACAAAACTAACTAAGTACGAAAAGCAAACCACCATAATTCCCGGTCATTTAGTTTCAAAGCGGGACAAGGCGACATCCGGTTTTACATCATTTTGCACTTTGAGGATGCAAAGCGCATACCGAATGTGGTAACAGCTCTTTTTAGTCTAGCAAGTGCGCCTGAGGCGTCCAAAATACATTGGAACAGAGACAATTTCATCGGCGTACTCCAAATCGCATAGCTTTTCTACAGATGTCCATTCAATACCCACGTTTTGGATTCCCCTTAGTGCGCTCTCCAATATTTCGTCTACGACGAAATTGAACAGGAACGGCGAAAGAGGGCACCCTTGACGAACGCCGCTGCTGGTGACGAACGGCCTACTTACTTCGTTTTAAACTCTCACTTGACCACGGGTATGTGAGGACAGTAACCTCAGTGAGTTAGCGTACTTCTGGGGCATTCCTTCTCGAAGAAGGGAACCCATTAGAGCTTCACGGTCAACTGAGTCGAAGATTCCTTTCAGGTTAATTACTGGTCGACGGTGGGTGTGACGCAGCTCAAGTACTTGACTCAACGTAAAAAATTGATCAATACATCCACGGCCAGGTAGTACTGATTGCTGTTGACGGATGTTGGTCTCCGTCAAAGGAGTCAGACGTCGAAGTGACGATCAGGATCAAACTTATCCCGCGGTAATTTTCGCAATCGTTGTGAGATCCTTTATTGAAAATTGGAACGATCAGTGATTCGCGCCAAGATGAAGGAATGCGCTCTTGCGTCCAAATGTTGCACAGTAAGGCAGTAATAGAGCTCACGAGGTTATCATCCCCATCTTGAAAAGATTTGAGAGGAGCCCATCCGCTCCTGCTGCATTTCCTCGCTTCAGTCGCACCTGAAGTAATCTTGCTAGTGACACGCCAGTTGAACAGTTCGCTGAAGTACCTATATGCTGTAAACATGTGTTCCGGCTAGTACCTACACTATCCCGGTTTTGTACCGCTGAGTTACAAATGTGGCTTAGTCAGAACGATGTACAATAGAGCTTGCAGACTGTGTACACCTAACACGCTAACCGATGAGAGTGATCTACTAAACGTGTTCCAGTTCTATTGCTACACAAAGGCATTTGTGAAACTACATTGCACTGTACACGAGCCAAAAGGACTGACAATATCCGTCCCGAAATGCAAAGTTTTCTTTCAGATACCATTCAAGGACAATGATATAGCCGAACTGTTTCCTCTCCGCCTCATTACGTAAGGGAATTCAAAACTGTGTGCAGTAAGCAAACAAAAATGTTTTGTTACCTCAAAACCGATTGCTCATTGTTCTATTCTATTCTGTTCTTCATAAGCCATGGTCACCTTGATACCGTATCTGTATCTGGAGAACCTAATAAGTGGTTTCCGAAATCGGCCCTCAAAGCGGAATCGTCTGTTCGCCTTTCAGCTCAACCATCAGCCGAAGGACTCAGTGAATACTGGTCGGCAATCAAGGAAGCGACCCAAACGTTGATCAAAACAACGATGGATTCTAGCGCACGATCAAACACAAACTTTGCCTTTTCTAACCTTGCTGAGTGATCCACTGCACATCTCTGGCCTCACAATCCTTTTAAATGCTTAGATATGCCGTTCTCATTTCTCTGAGAGAACAGTTATGCAAATCTCTTAGAATCCTGTCCCACGATGAGTATAAGTGATGATACCATTATCCAACTCATGAATGTTAGTTATCTCGGATCTATTAATTAACCGAAATCTATCCTGGTCTGACCAAGTTATTTCTGTATTTAGGAAGATCAGAAAATTACCATTTTGTCCTACGCCTGGAGTTTTTATTCGTATCTCGCTTCTTGATCAGTCGTTTTCCTTTTGCTTGTGTTACGCCTCTTCAGCTGTACAGACCTCTTCTAAGTTTCCCCGGGATACCCAAAAAGAACTTTAAGTTGTGTTTCAGATCGCTAGCACATTTAGTCAGAATTAGCAGGATTTTCCCTAAAAATCTGTCATTTTATCGTTCCACAACATAAAAAGTCATATCTTTTGCTTTCCACAAAAATCATGAACAATCAGCGTTTTCTTCTTCCACCCCCT